AATCGTCAGGCCGTTGGCGCCCTCTGCAGGCCTTTGTTGTAATGCATAATGTATATTAGCTCTATTGTTTATAATACATTATGTATTTTAACAATTTTGTTCAATAAAACCATATGATTTCTTGCATTTGATACTTTATTTGAATTAATTATTATTGCCTCATTGCTATATGTATGTTAAGTAATTTTAAAGGCTATTGTTCACTTACATCTATTTTTATTACCACAAAAAATTTATTATAATTATAGGGCCACTATGAAATCCGTTTTATTTCCAAATTCAGTTTTCTCCAAGATGCTTCAAGAAACCTACCCGCAAATCTCCCTGAAAAACTATGCGCAAGTGCACCGAGGGCAAAAGCTGCTTTAAACACAAAGGATGCTCACACCAAATGTTGATTTAATTTAGTTAATAGAAGTTAATTGATAAAGAAAATCTATTTATGACGTTATTTTTGACAGCTTCCTCATTTTACAGCATTTTTACACAAGTGCATAAAACTTTTAACAGTACTGTAGCTTTGCAGGTAGGTTTCTTATAGAATCTTGAAGCATTAAAAAAAAATTTAAACTCTTTAATTAAAAGCTCACTAAAATAAGCTTCATTTTCTTGGACTGGGATCTTCTTAAAATCAAGATCAAAACAAAACTCACATTAAGGCACATTATTCTAAAGAAAGACTTTTTTTAATCTTCCAGTAACTTTCTCTGAAAAGATTAGATTTTTTTCATTTAATGTGTAATTTGACCCGGGGCTTGTTAATGTTAATTTTATGTAGATGAAAGCACAAGTTATGTCCTGGGTTAACACAAACACACGGATCTTCCTCACTGTCTCTCTAGTCTACAGTGTGGACGTGTCTCTCTCTCTCTCAGTGGTCTTATCACAGCTGTGATGGCGGTCGAGTCAATCCCAGCGCTGGCTCGGCTCACAGGATAGACTGACTCCAGCTCCAAAGCCACGCCCCCTTCCTTGCCCCCTCTTCTTTAAAAAACAAGTGTTCCCCTGTTCGTAAGGCCTGGGCAATAAAACAATGTTTATTTGTGTGGACAGCTGCACAGCGCGCTGAGTTCATGTGCGAGCCGTGAGTAGGCCAGCATGCCAAGTGCGATAAAGGATAAAAGACTTTGAGAAACGCCTCATGGACCTGAATGGATGAATGAATGAATCATTTTATTAATCAAACTAAAACTGGTCCGTTCAAAGAAAAAGGAATTAGCCTATCCAACCAAACTTGCTAAAGGGAACCATCAGATTGTGGCTTGTTTTGGTAGAAAATGACTGACAGCATCACCATGGCAACATCAGAACAGAGCTCTAAGCCCTGCCCCCTTCACCAGTCCTCTGCTCATCAACAACAACAGAGTGCATTAGTGCCCGCCCACTTTTTCAGCAGCACTGGTTTCAGAAGTATTTTTCCATTCATTTCAGTTTTTAAAAAACTTTGTTAAAGGGTTTTAAGCTTTAACCAAGCATACAAGCTATGAGGTGAAATCACAGCATTACAAATGTTCATTTAAAGCAAAAAAGTACTTGAAAATCAGACAAAAAGACAAAGATACAAGACTGTGTACTTAACAGTTTTAGTGAGGAACAAAGGAACTGCAATACAATGAAACAGTGTGAGACAATCAAATGTAAAAAATACAAAACAATTTAAAGTTGCTAATTGTTTAAGTTTATTGCAAAATATACACCAATTAAGTAATTTGACACCACAGAAAGACCGAATACGTCGTTCAAGGTACTTCATGTGAGTGGGCATTCCCTGCAAGCTCTTTTGGTATGATCTGCTTGCTGCAACTGTCTGATTGCTGGAATTTTCTGTACAGAATTGTGGGTAATGCAGTTTTTTTTTTACCATGAACTTAGCTGTTGCACTGGATTTTACTGCATTTGCATACTTGTACTACAAATCATTACAAAATCATTACTACTGAAAATGTAACAAGCCTCTGTTCACAATATTTGCTCAAAAGCCATGCGTATAAAAAAAAATCCACATAAAACTAGGGCACACTAGTCATGCTATTTTAATATACTATGATTTGGGATACACTAATCCCAATTTTGCATAGAATACAAATTGGAAAGTAGGCAAATTGAGATTCACCTAAAAAAAATGCTTTTAGGATTCGTCATTATGTCCAATGGATTATGAAAATGTGCCATACAGTAAAACAGAAACCGATTAAACACTATTGAAGCACACAATATAAGTTAAATATTAACAACACCACAAGAGCCCACCTGTAAAATCATTAACCACACAAAAATCTGACATCTCAGTAATGAAAGTTATGAAAAAGTTAAGTAACATGAGTAAGGTCAAACTTTCAGAATGTTTGGTGTTAAAGTTCAAGTCCCTATAAACATTATCGCCAATGCATACAAATAGCCCATTCGCTTCTAGAAGAAACACCAAAACAAGGCAGTTTTGGAAAAAAGAAAACTCTTTCAATTTAATTATAATCTAAATCCACCAAAATGTTTGCCCAAATACTCGCCCATGTGTCATCTGGTGCGTGTGTGTGTGTGTGTGCACAACTCCATTAAGACCATTTGGCGTTTGCGTTTATAGCATTATAATGTGTGTAAGACGATGCATTGAATTAAATACTGAACTGAAATGCACATCATCTCATTTGCTTATTTTCCTGTATTTATTTGGAACTTGATAGCCCTGCAAACGCATCTACCGCATAAACATTATAGCAAAATCTTTACAGGTTGATACAGCTTGTACACTATAATACTGTCTCATTAAGTGTTGTGATGCACTAAATACTCTAAAATAGAGCCAAAATCATTACTTGAGACCACTGCACAACCACACACACAGGACAACACAGAATATGAGCTCCTAATCCAACGGTTAATAATCTGTGGCATATAATCTCAGGATCAGCATGCATCCATTCACCTCTTTTGACGTAGCATTTGCGTGACATCTGACAAATGTCATCCCTGGTTTTTTATGTTGTGAATGCTGCAAATATAACAGTTTCATTTATATCTCAGAAGTTGCAGTTAAAAGTCCCCTGCAGTTACTAATTTTATTCCTTAAAGGGATAGTTTACCCCAAAATTCTGTCATCATTTACTCATTGACTTCCATAGAACAGAAAATAAAATACTATGGAAGTCAATGGCTACCATCAACCATTACCATCAACAACAGAAGAAAGAATCTTGTTTGGAACTACTTGAGGGTGAGTAAATGATGACAATTTTTATTTTTGGATGAACTATCCCTTTAAAACTTTCATAACCAAAACGACATATCATATTTCCTGTGAAAATTTTTTATTTGTGCCTTAAAATGGCTTTAATAGAACTCTACACCCTTAACTCATTTCGTATACGTGGACTCATGAATATGCAAATTAGTCCCCGCCTCCACTCAATCACAGCAGCTCAGACCTGCTCCACTTTCACCCAAATGATGAATTTGCACATGGTTTGTCTTTAATCATGTTAAAAACACCAAAAT